AATCCAGGCATGTGCCCAGAATGGGCATCAAACTGGCAAATTTTTCACAGGTTGGTACTCAATCCACCAAGCCACACACCAGTTAGGGCATAGTATGGGATTTTAACACCCCATTGACATCAATGGATAGGGCTTTCAGACAAAAATAAATCAACAAGGAAACAGCAGCCTTAAATGACACACTAGATCAGATAGATTTCATTGATATCTTCTGAGCATTTCACCCCAGAGCAGTAGAATATACATTCTTTTCAAGTAAACATGAAACATTTTCTAGGAGAGCCACATGTTAGAACAGAAAACAAATATCAATAAACTGAAGAAGATTTAAATCATATCAAGCGAGCATCTTCTCTAACCATAATGTTATAAAACTAGAAATCAATCACAAGATAAAAACTGAAAACACATAAAACACAGAGGCTAAATAACATGTCACTAAACAATGAATTGGTTAACAATGAGATCAAGGGAGAAATAAAAAGATACCATGAAATAAATAAAATGAGAATATAACAAACTCAAATTTATGAGACACAGCCAAAGCAGTCATAAGAGGGAAATTTATAGCAATACTGACCTATCTCAAGAAAGAAGAAAAATCTCAAATAATCTAACTTTACACTTAAACTTGGAAAAAAAACCAATAAAGCTCAAAGTGAGCAGAAGAAATGTAATGATAAAGATCACAGCAGAAATAAATGAAATGAAACCTAACAAAACAATACAAAAGATCTATAAAACCAAGAGCTGATTTTTGAAAAGATAATCAAGATCGATAAACCTTTAACCAAACTCATCTAGAAAAAAAGACCCAAATGAAGAAAATCAGAAAGACAAGTAAAAACTGACATCTAAGAAATACAAAGCATTTAAAGAAAATACTCCAAACAAATATGCCAACAAATTGGACAATCTAGACAAAATGGATAAATTCCTGGACATACAATCTTACAAAACTGCATAAGGAAGAATCAGTCAACCTAAGTAGACTGATTACACAAATGGAACTGAACCAGTATCATAAAACTCCCAACAAGCACAAATTTGGGACTGAAAGTCTTCAGATGTGAATTTTACCAAACATTCAAAAAAGAATTTACATCTGTCTTTCTCAAACTATTTCAAAAAATTTAAGAGGAGGGAAGACTCCCAAGCTCATTACTAGGACAGCATTAATTTAATTCCAAAGCCAGATAAAGGTACCACAAAGAAAGAAAACCATAGGCCAATCTATCTGATGAACATAGATACTAAAATCCTCAACAAGGCCCTGGCTGGTGTGGCTCAGTGGATTGAGCACCAGCCTGCAAACCAAAGGGTCACTAGTTTAATTCCCAGGCAGGACATATGCCTGGGTTGTAGGCCAGGTCCCTAATAGGGAGCATGTGAGAAGCAGCCAAACATTGATGTTTATCTCCATCTTTCTCCCTCCCTTCCCCTCTCTCTCAAAAAAAAAAATCTTTAAAATCCTCAACAAAATATTAGCAAACCAGATCCAGCAATGCATTAAAATATCATACACCATGATCAAGCAGGATTTGTTTCGGGGAGGCAAGGTTGGTACAATATCCACAAACAAATTAATGTAATATACCACATAAACAAGGTAAAAAATAAAAAAACACATAATTGCATCAACAGATGCAAAAAAAGCATTTGATAAAATCTAGTATCCATTTATAATAAAAAAACTTTCAGAAAAGTGGAACTAAGGAAACATACCTCAACATGACAAAGGCCATACATGACAAACCCACAGCCAACATTGTACTCAGTGGGCAAACACTAAATGTGTTTCCCTTAAGATCAGGAACAAGACAGGGTTGTCCTCTTTTACTACTCTTATTTAACACAGTGCTGGAATTCCTAGCCACAGCAAGCAGACCAAAAAAGAAAAAAAAAAGAGAGAGAGAGAAATGAAAGGCATCCAAATTGCAAAGGAAGAAATAAAGCTGTCATTATTTGCAGATGGCATGATACTACATAAGAGAACCCTATACTATAGAGAACCCTAAAGATTCTACCATGAAACTACTAGAACTAATAAATGAATTCAGTAAAATAGCAGAACACAAAATAAATATCCAGAAATCAGTAGCATTTTTATACACCAAAAATGAACTGTAAGAGAGGGAAATTAAGATAACAATCCCATTTACAATTCCATCAAAATAAAATACCTAGGAGTAATATTTAACCATGGAGGCAAAATATCTGTACTTGTAAAATTAGACACAGAACAAAAAAACTCAATAAGATACAAAGAAGTGAAAGCATATATTGTGTTCATGGATAGAAAGAATTGACATCATTAGTGTCCATACTACCCAAAGCAATGTATAGATTCAACACAATTCCTATCAAGATACCAATGGCATATTTCACAGAACTAGAACAAATATTTCAAAAATTTATATGGAACCATAAAAGATCCTGAATAGCCACAGCAATCTGGAGAAAAAAAGAACGAAGTTGGAGGAATCACACTATCTGATATCAAAGTAACGGAGGGGACACCCCCAAAACCAAAATTATCTTCTGGAGGCAGGCCCATTGTAGTACAGGCTTCTCTCACTAGGTGAGTTGTTCTAGAAAACCACTAGTATCAGTGTATCAGCTAGCGTTGTTGTGATAGGCTGTGTTCAGCTTCAGTGAATTATTTCTGAAGACTCTCAACCCACTTGTCCATTTCATGATGGGTGATTTACGAGCACATCTGCCCACACTGCACTGAGTGTTCAGCAGTTTTTGACCAAAAACAGCATGACCCTCTTCTATATTCACCTGATCTACCCGAGTGACTTTTTTTTGTTTCCCCAGATGAAAATAGTCCTCAAAGTTAAACATTTTTGCCAATGTGGAAAAGTTGAAACAAACAAAAAATGTCAGAAGCACTAAATGGCATCAAAATCAATGATCTCAAAAGCTGTTTTGAGCAGTGGAAAAAACATCTTGATATGTGTATTGCATCAAATGGAGAGTACTTTAAAGGTGACTGAAGTTTAAGTGTGTAAGAATAAATATGCAGTTTTTTATCAATAAATTCCAAGGTTTTTTTGGCCCCCCCCTTATATACTACAAGGCCATAGTAATCAAAACAGCATGGTACTGGCATAAAAACAGACTTTGATCAAGGGAACAAAATAGCCCAGAAATAAACCCCTGCCTATGTGGTCAATTGATATTTGACAAAGGAGTCAAGGACATAAAATGGGGTAAAGACAGTCTAGTCAATAAATTGTGCTGGGAAAATTGTTTTGGGATAGAAATGTGAAAAAAATGAAATTAGACCACTTTCTCATACCATACACAAGGATAAATTCAAATGGATTAAAGTCTAAATGTTATACTAGAAACCATAAAAATTCTGGAACAAAACATAGGCCATAAAATCTCCAACACTTGGAACAATATTTTTTCTGGTATATCTCCTCAGGCAAGGGAAACAAAAGAAAAAAATAAACAATGGGACTACATCAAACTAAAAAAGGTTTTACACAGCATAGGAAACCATCAACAAATTGAGAAGACAACCCACTGAATGGGAGAATATATTTGCCAATGATACATCTGTTAAAGTATTACTATCCAAAACTTATAGAGAATTCATACAACTCAAAACCAAAAAACACACAAACAATCCAATTAGAAGTGGACAAAGGACCTGAATAGACACTTCTTCAAAGAGGTCATATAGATGGCCAATAGACATATGAAAAGATGCTCAACATCACTAATCATCAGAGAAATGCCAATTAAAACCACAATGAGATATGACCTCATACCTATCTCAATGGCTATCATCAATAAATCAACAAACAGCAAGTGTTGGTGAGGATGCAGAGAAAAAACCTTTGTGCACTGTTGGTGGGAATGCAGATTGGTGCAGCTACTCTGGAAAGCAGCATGACATTTACTCAAAAGATAAAAATGGAAATGCCTATGGCCCAGCAATTCTACTTTTGGGACTGTACCCAAAGACACCCAAAGCACTAATTCGAAAGAATATATGCAACCCAATGTTCATTGCAGCATTATTTACAACAGCCAAAGTTTGGAAGCAGCCCAAGTGCCCATCAGTAGATAAGTGGATAAAAAAGCTGTAGTACCATTACATAGTGGAATACTATTGAGTCATAAAAAGGAGATCTTACCCTTTGTGACAGCATGGATGGACCAGAAGACTGTTATGTTAAGTGAATAAGCCAGTCTGAGAAAGACAAGTACTATATGATCTCACTTACATGTGGAATCTCATGAACAAAATAAACTAATATAACAGAAACAGACTCCTAGACACAGAGAACAGACTGACAGATGTGAAAGGGGTTGGAAGTAGGGGGGCTGGAAAAAGTTGAAGGGATGAAGCCCCACTAAAAAAGCAACATATAGACCCACACAACAATTTCCTTCTGGTGATTACCCGAGTATACTGGTGATTACAGTATACAGATGATGTATTATACAACTGTATACATGAAACATGCATAATTTCATTCATCAATGTCATCCCAATAAATTCAATTAAAAGACCACCTAAGTTTAAGGTTGAAAAGAACTGAGGTGTCAAGTATCTTTTGTTTTTTCTCTCTCTGGCCAAAGACTATATAGCTCTTTTCTTAAGTATCTTCTCAAGAATGGGAGTCTTCCTGTCAGTTATGTTTTTAACCTGTATTAGTAGTAAAAATTTAAAATAATTTCTAGTTTTATATTATAATTAAAAATGTCTTCTAGAGAATACAATAGATATCATCATTTTTTAACATTTTAATGCATGAAGATTGTTATTATACCATCCGGATAATTACACTACCAGGACTTCCCTTTTCTAGTTACTTTAAACATGGAAAACTTTCCCTCCCAATCAAAGGATCTATAACCAAACTTCAAATTACAGATTCAATACTATTTTAGTTATTTAAATTTACTGCCATTTGAAAAAAATCTTTCATTGGATTTTTAAAAGAGAAAAAGTAAAATACTCTGATAAATCTTACCTTCGTTTGCAAATCAGGAACCATAAAGCTGATCCCAAAGCAAAGAAACCAATTCCGAAAGTAATAGCCCCAGCAGCCAGAAAATAGGTTAAGTGATAAATAGAACCTATACAAATAAATTATAAAAGAATATTTCATGCATGTATCCTCAATATCCAGGTAAAATTAAATGATATAATATTTCAAATGATACTACATAGTGTCGTATTAAAATATTAACTAGGAAGTCAAGAGACCTGAATTCTGCTGCTGTGCAATTCTAATAAATTTCAAGACCCCGAGTTTGAGAATTACGCAGGGCCTCATGCTGATTAGGGCCTAGGGTACATTTCTGTCAGCCTGCCAGGATTTGAGACTGAGGTTTTGTTTCTTTTCATACAAATGTCACCTTCTTTTCTTCTTATTTCAACTTTTCTCCCATCCGTGTCCTGCCGTGAATTTATTTTTCTAGTATCACACTTTGCAGCTCTCCAACATAAGACACTTCATTTTAAGATTTTGATTATCAATCACTACAAAAAGTTAGATGAGGGAAATGACGAACAAGTATAAGGAATTTTTTAAGATCTTAGAAATTTTAAAATGTTTTACCTATGCTTTCTCTCAAGAACAGTAAAAGATCATAGCCAAACCTAAATAACAGCAATATAAAATAGAAGTTTATCACAGGTCTATAATTGAAAAAGCCCATAGGAATTACAGGTATAACTCCTTCTTTTTACAAGCGTTAAAATTCCCAGGTAAGAGAAGTAACTAAACTAAGGTTAGGTAGCAAATTAAAGCCAGTTCTCTGTTTATTCTATTACCTTAACACCAATAGTCTTAACAGTGGTATGTACAAAAAGAAAAAAGAATTAAAAAAGGCAACTGTAGTCAGAGTGGTCAAGTATTCATTAATATTCTGAAATTTGCTCCCTAAGCAGAAAGCAAGCTCTGTAGAAAGCTTTCACAGAAGGCTATGTAGAGCTTGAAGGGCCTTACAACAACTTAAGAGTATATTATCTGGGGGAAGAAAGGGGGTTAAAGGTATAAAATTAACAGAAGATCTTTATATATAAATATATTGTAAGTTCCATTAGGCATATGACATAATAAAGACTGTTCTCATACTTTGTTTCCTAAGTAATTTCCAGCTGCCAAGAATCTTAGTTTTTTCCTTAATTTCCAGCATCTCAAATCTTAGTTTTCTTTTGGTTCAGAAATGTCTACATTTGAGAATTAATGGTATTAAGAAGGTTATATAAGGCTGATAATCAAAGTGATATTTATAATAGGAAAAAACCTCTAAATGCCTCACATAATGAAGTCAATGAAATGAGATAAGACATTCCCTGGCTGGTGTAGCTCAGTGGATTGAACTCGGGCCTGCAAACCAAAGGATCTCAGTTCAATTCCCAGTCAGGACACGTGCCTGGGTTGCAGGCCAGTCCCCAGCAGGGGATGCATGAGAGGCAACCATACATTGATATTTCTCTCCCTCTCTCCTTCCCTTCCCCTCTAAAGATAAATAAATAAAATCTTTTTAAAAGTTTTTTAAAAAATGAGTTAGGACAATATCATAAGAGAAATTTATAGCATTCTTTAATTTAGTGCAGGGTTTCTGAGCCTCAACACTATCAATCTTTTATTTTATTGTTGTTCAAGTGCAGTTGTCTCATTTTCTCCCCATCACTCTTCCTTGTCCCATCCACCCACACCTTCAATCCTACCCCCTTTGGCTTTATCCACATGTTCCTTTATACATGTTTCTTGAAAGTCCTTCCCCTTCTTTCCCCCGCTATCCCTCTCCCCCTCCTCTCTGGTTACTGTTAGTTTGTTCTTTATTTCAATGTCTCTGGTTTTACTTTGCTTGCTGGTTTGTTTTGTTAGGTTCCACTTATAGGTGAGCTCATATGGTATTTGTCTTTCATCACCTAGCTTATTTCACTTCACATACTGTTCTCTAGTTCCATCCATGTTGTCACAAAAGGTAGGAGCTCCTTTCTTTCTGCTGCACAGAATTTCATTGTATAAATGTACCACAGTTTTTTGATCCACTCATTTACAGATAGGCACTTAGGTTCCTTTTAACACTTGGCTGTTGTAAATTATGCTGCTATGAACATTGGGGTGCATAGGTTCTTTTGTATTGGTGATTCAGAGTTCTTAGGGTATAATTCAAGCAGTGAAATTGCTGTTCAAAAGGCAGTTCCATTTTTAGTTTTGAACCAGATAATTTGTTGTAGGGACTGTCCTGTGCATTGTACAAGAAGTGTCTCCAGGCATTAACATGTATTCTGGAAGGTGGGCAAATTTGCCCTAGTTGAGAATCACTGATGTAGTGGTATAAGATGTCAGATAGTATTAAGTGATAACAGCAAGATAGTTAAACTCACATTTAAAATTTTTAAAGACAGCCTCTGGCTGATGTGGCTCAGTGGACTGAATGCTAGCCTGTGAACCAAAGGGTTGCCGGTTCGATTCCCAGTCAGTACACATGCCTGGGTTGCAGGCCAGGTCCCTAAGGGGGGGCACATGAGAGGCAACCACACACTGTTTCTCTTTCTCCCTCCCTTCCTCTCTGTCTAAAAATAAATAAATAAAATATTTTTTAAAAATTAAAAAATTTAAAGACATAGTTGTACTCAGATATAAGATAAAGATCTCTATGGACAAAAAAAGAAAAACAACAGAGAAATAAGTAGGGAGTAAAACCACAGGCATACTAAATCTGGAAGCAGGAATTAGCTAGAAGCAGCAAAGAAAATCACTGAGATAAGACCTAGACCAAACCACTCTCTGGCACAGTGAATGACAGTATTGCCAAAATCTCTTAGAGAAGGGAGTCCTGAAGCACCAATAAAAGACCAAAAATGAACTAAGGAAGAATCTTAGAAATAAAAATTTCAAAAAATGTTAAAATGGAGTAAACTCTTCCTTGAACATAATTAATTAAATAAGTGATAATACTGAAAAATGTTCCCAGTTACATAAAAAAATAAAAATATGAAAAATAAATTATAATATCTGGAAAATATTGAGACTGTAACATGAAGCAAATAAGGGTCCCAAAGGAGAGAATAGAGAAGTAGCCAAGAAGCAATGTTTAAAGAAATACAACCTAAGATTTTTTTACTTTAAAAATATTTAAATTTACACATAGTAAAATTCACTTTCATGCATGTTTTTGCAGTTTATTAAGTTTAGGCAAATACAAAGAGTGTTTAATCATTACCACAATCAACTTACAGAACACTTCCATCATCCCCCCTCCCCACCACTGCCCCCGATTTCCTCACACTGCCTGTAAGCAGTCAAGCACTAACTGCTGGTAACCACTAATTATTTTCCATTCACATTCTCCAACCTTATACTTTTGCCTTTCCAGATTTCTTATATATGGTATTATACAACATATGGCTTTTTGAGTCTAGTTTTTTTCCCATTTTGCATAATGCAGTTGAGATGCATCCATGTTATTGCATGTATCAACAGTTCATATCTTATTATTGTTGAGTAACATTCCATTTTATAGATGTACCACAATTTGTTTACTCCCCAGTTGAGAGACATTTGGTTGTTTCCAGCTTGGGGTTGTTAGGGGAACAGCTACTATACACTTGCATACCGATTATTTGTTTAAATATAAGTTATTATTTCAGGAGTGTCAGGTAGGAAGTACGTATTTAAATTTATGAGAAACTGCCAAACTGCTTTCCAGAGTGGCTGTACTGTCTTGCCTTCCCACCAGCCATATACAACAGTTCCACTTGCTCTGTATCATTGCCACCACTTCATATTCCCAGTTTTATTTCAGCCATTCTAATACCTGTATAGTGGCTTTTCACTGTGGTTGTATGTTCATTTCCTTAGTGAATAATGATGTTGAGCATTGCTTACATTCCATCCATATGTCTTCTTCAGTTAAGTATGTGTTTAAATCTTTGCTAATTTTTCAGAATTCTTCAGACCTTCTGGATACAAGTCCTTGATCAGATATCTGATTTGGAAACATTTTTCTCCCAATATGTGGCTGTCTTTCCAATTCTCTTAAGTGTCTTTCACAGAGAAAAACTTTTTAATTTTGTCGACGTCCAATTTATCAACTTTTTTCCTATGGATTTTTCTATGAGTCTTATGTGAGAATTTTTTGCCTAATCCAGGTCATGAAGATTTTCTCCTGTGTTTTCTTATAAAATATTTATAGTTTTATGTTTACATTTAATTTATTATTCATTTATATTAATTTTTGCATAAGGTGAAAGGTATGAATCAAGTTCTTATTTTTTTATATGTATATCCAGTGGTTCAAGACTATTTGTTGAAAAGTTGAAATAGGTCCAACAATATTTTCTTCATTGAGTTGCCTTTGCATCCTTGTCAAAAATCAATTAGCTATATTTGTGTCAATCTATTTCTGTATTCTCTCTATTCTGTCCCCTTGACATATATTGTATATCTTTTCACAAAAAACAACAATAATATCTAACATTTATAGATCAAATACTATATGACAGGCACGGTTCGAAGTGTTTTCTATGTATTTATTTAATTCTCACAACTCTATGAGTTAAATACTATTATTTTTTACTTTATAGATGAGGAAACAAGCAAAATTAGGTTAAGTAACTTACTTAAAGGCATACAACTGGGGACAGAATAGTAGTAATTTAAAAATTGCTAAGGTCCTCTCTTATGTAGATTGAGTTAAGAATAGACACAGAATATCTTTAGATTTTTTTAGAAAAACAGATATGAATGCTAAATATATAAGGGTATCATAAAAGAGAATATCTAAATGGCCAATAAACACATAAAAACTTCATTAATAACCAAGGAAGTATAAATTAAACCACAATGAGATATGACAACTCTGTGTGAAGCCTAAAAATGAAAAGGACAGAAAATATCAAGTGTTGCCAAGGAGGCAGAGAAACCTGAATTCTCAAACAGTGCTGATGGGAATGTAATTTTGTGTAATACCTTGGAAAACTGTTTGGCACTATCAGTAAAGCTGAACATATGTGTATCCCAGGGCCAGTGACTCTTACCTATGTACCAAACTAAAGTAGGTATGTATGTTAACAAAAAATGTACTGGAATGTTTATAGCCTCACTATTTTAGAGCCACAAGTTGGAAACTGCTCAAATACCCATTAATAGTTGAATGAATGAATTTTAAAAGTTGAATTGGCCCTGGCTGGTGTGGCTCAGGGACCGAGCTCCAGCTTATGAACCAAAGGGTCTCTGGTTTGATTCTGTCAGGGTATGTTTGGATTGAGTGTCAGGTCCCCAGTGGGGGATGCTTGAGAGTCAATCACACATCAGTGTTTCTCTCCCTCTCTTCCTCCTTCCCTTCCTCTCCCTCTGAAAATAAATATATAAATAATCTTAAAAAATATATAAAGTTGAATTGACTTAAGAAAACAAAATATTATATAACAATAAGAAAGAATAACTATATGCACAATGACACGAGTTAATTTTATAAACAATGTTGAGCAAAAGAAGGTAGACATAAAGTTCAAACACAGATATTAGGAAGAGTTCAGAGAGGCTATCGATGTTCTGTTTCTTATACTAGGTACTGGTTTCATAGATGTATCATCAAGCTTAACACTAATGACTTATAAATAAAATAAACTAGATCTATTTGTGCCAGCATGAATAAAACTAAAAACCAGAATTAATGAGCAGTAAAAAAGAAATTTCTAAAAATTTATGTTCCATTATTCCAGTTATAAACTAATGTCATTTATGCACATTAAAAGAAAACATAAAATAATAGTATTTTTGAAATGTTTATCTAGCAAAAGGATTAAAATATACCAAATTCATATTAGTTGTGTCTGGAGAGAAAATGAGGGAAACGAGATTATAAACAAAATATAAACTTATCATTATGATGTATTATATCTTTAAAAAGTTAAAAATTTAAAGTTTATATGACCCAAAATATTTATTTAGTAGGAAACACTTAGATGTTTTTTACTTTTCTCCTTTTTTATTTTCACTTTTATTTTCTCAAATAATTTAAAAATATGAAAACCATATGATCTCAATTTATTCAAAGATAAATAGAGAGAAACATTTGTATAAGAAAAATAATTTACCTTAGTTATTCCTGGAATAAGGGCTTATAGTTATAATGTTCCATTCCAGACTTTTCTATATATTCAAATTTTCTACCATTAGTATATTGGAAAAATCACCAAAAATTTTTGAGGATTCATATGTAATTCCTGATATACAAAAGTAGTATTTTTACTTTCTTGATTCTGCCCTTAAGTATCCTATCTAAAGTAATGACGCCTCACTTTCAACAGTCATTCTATCATATCGCCATGTTTCTGTTTTTATTAATTACTATCATAAACAACATTCTATACTTATTGGTTTATTGTCTATTGTCTCTTCCTTATAAGAAAATAAGTTTTTTTTTCACTATGGTAGTCTTAGAATTTAGAATGACTAGTTATTCAAGAAATAATCCAATGGTTAATGAATGAATGATAGGCATTGGCTAGATGTTTGTATTACAGAAATGAGCCCAGGCTGGTGTGGCTCAGTGGATTGAGCACCAGCCTGCAAACCAAAGGGTCACCAGTTCAATTATGGTCAGGGCACATGCCTTGGTTGCAGGCCAGGTCCCCCGCAGGGAATGTGCAAGAGGCAGCCACACACTGATGTTTCTCTCCCTCTCTTTCTCCCTCCCGTCCCCTCTCTAAAAAATAAATAAAATGTTTTAAAAAATGAATACATATTGCTTAGTTATGTGAAAAAGAATAATTGCTATTAAAAAGTATTACAGGTGTTGTAAGAAAAAATAAGAACAAAATACAGACACAGAAAGATTTATAAAGGGATAGGAGAAAGTTAAAACAAAATGGCTCCATAGTTTAGTTAAACATCATTTGAGAATTTTCTTTTGTTAAACCAGTGCTAAGAATTGGTGATTTAGAGATAAGAAGCACTTGATCATAAGTCTGGAGAGGACAAGATGTTTAAACCAATACATTCATTAAAATATTCTAAGTTCTATGATGGCCTATTGACAATGCTAAGACAACAGAAGCAATTTGACCAAGTGCAGGAATGGCTTCCTAAAAATAATAACTGGGCTGAATCTTATGGAACGAGTAAAACATAGCTAAAGACACTGTCTTAAACCACCAGGTCATGATGACTCTTCCATCTTAACAAACAAACAAACAATAACAACAACAACAACAACATTTCTCTTTTTACCCACAGTGCTCTCCAGCTTACAACTGATCCTTTTCTTACCATTTGCAGCCAAAACTCTTAAAATGAAAATTTTTACTTCTTCACAACTTCTATCTCAAAGGTCATGAAATAACTTGACGCAAAATAAAAACATCATTACTGATCATTCTCTCTCTTGTCTTGGCATTAGTAACCTAAATTCACCTTGTTTTCTTCCATTTTCTCTGTCTATACCTTTATTGCCTTTGTGAGTCTCTCTTCTTCTGCCCATATATCCTTTAACATATATATCTATATCTAGGTATAAATAAATATCCCTTATCTATATCTGGGTAGGTATGTTAAAGGATGTATGGATATATATATATATATATATATATATATATATATATATCAGAAGTGTTTTCAGATTATCTTTGCAATTATACAAGAACTACAAGTCCTGTTTTATTCACAAATTACCCATTTATTATATATTTTTAGGTTTTTCCAGATTTCAGGTTCAGGTATACTCCAATCCAACAAACATCTATTGAACACCAATATGTGTGAAATGTTGGAGGCACCAAGTGAGGGATAAAAATCCATTTAAATAAGAATGAATTCTTGCCCAGAGGTTTCAAAATCTATGATGAAATGTAAGCAGGGCTCATATGCAACCAGTATACATTGTTGGCTGCACTCATGGTTTCAGCTGGTGTCTGCTTTCGATGGATATCGACTACCTAGATCTAAAAACTTGGAAAGTTCATTATTATGTTACTGGATTTTAATGTCCTACTTGAAAAATGAGAGTCATACTATCTATCACACAGAATTAGAATAAGGAATAATTAAGATAATGTTGCAAGGAATGAATAGCAAAATAAACAGTAAGTTATCTCAAACTTACCATGCATATATCAGGCTATAAAGGAAGACTAAACAAGCTTTACAGAATCATTGTTACACATATCACATTCTATAAAAATTATACAATTAATTTTGGAGTTAATAACCTAATACATACCCTAAAGCTGCCACACTTGTGGAAAT